AGCTCTTTCATTAATTTTTATTCATTCTTATTCTATCAGTCTACTCTCAGGGAACACTTTTATCACTAGAGTCTTCGTCACTGCTCGATTCGTCGGAATCAGAGTCCATGCTCCATGCTTCCATAGTAACAAGATCTCGAGCCTCCTCTACACTAAACACACGTTGACGTTTTCCAGCAGGTGCCATCGTAACATCAGTAAAAAAAATCCAAAGAAAACCGCTAAATACACGGTAATTTCGAATGTAACACTATGAAGAAAAACAGTTTACCGGAAAGTGTGCGATGTATACAATGTAAACAATAGTAAACGCAACGCGTGGCTACACACTGCGAGCGGTATTATGAATGTCTAATTGACTCGTATACATCTGTGCAAAAATGCGAAGTTGGCACGCCTACGTCCGTGCAAATCGGCGAACAAAGCAAACAAAGAGTTAAGGGATGGCCTCCTTAGTAAGTTAAAGGAGGCCTTAGCATATTCTATTATTAATAGAGAATGATTTGAAGGGATGATGGCCTTGCATGTTCTATCATTCATAGATAAAGATTGGAAGGATCGCGTTAGTACGTTGGATCATTCGTGGAGAATGATATGAAGGGTAGGCCTTAGTATGTTGGATCATTCGTAGAGAATGATTTGAACGGATGGCCTTAATTGGTCCATCATTCATTGAGAATGATTTGAAAGGAGGCCTTAGCATATTCTATTATGCATACAGAATGATTTGAAGGGATGGCCTTGTATGTTGTATCATTCATAGAGAATGATTTGAAGGGAAAGCCTTCATATGTTTTATCATTCATAGAGAATGATTTAAAGCGATCGCCTTTATCATTTGATATAGATAATTATTGGAAGGGATGGCCTTAATATGCATTATCATTCATAGAGAATGATTTGGAGGGATTGCCTTTTATGGTCTATCATTCATAGACAATGATTCAAAGGGATAGCCTTAGTATATGATATCATTTAATATAGATAATGATTGGAAGGGATCGCGTTAGTATGTTGGATCATTCGTATAGAACGATTTAAAGGGATGTCCTCCTTAGTAAGTTGTATCAATCATAGAGAATGATTTGAAGGAATGGACTTGAATGTTCTATCATTCGTAGAGAATGATTTGAAGGGATGGCCTCCTTTAAGTTGTACCATTTTTAGAGAATGATTTGAAAGAATGGCCTTGAATGTTCTATCATTCGTAGAGAATGATTTGAAGGGATGGATTTGAACGTTCTATTATTCAAAGAGAATGATTTGAAAGAATGGCCTTGAATGTTCTATCATTCGTAGAGAATGATTTAAAGGGATGGCCTCCTTAGTAAGTGTTATCATTCATAGAGAATGATTCAAAGGGAACGCCTTGTATGCAGGGGCGGCGAACTTTAGGAGAAAACGTCAGCAGATTGATGGATATAGGTACTCCCCCCCCCCCCCCCCCTCCGAACCGTCCCCCATAATGATTGAAGGAAAGAACAAAATCTCTCTGCTAATCTGCTGGAGAGTCCTGCAGATCTTCAGGACTCGAGGAATTCTAGTTGAGTCAAAATCCATGTAGTAATTTAGCCAAAACAAATTGCAAAAATAATGTTTTCCACTGACCGAATTCAAAAAGTTTATGGAAATGTATAGTGGAAATTAGTTAAATTTGCATAATATGCAAATTAGCCTATATATGTCTTATGAGAATATTCATATTTACCTCTAGATCCTTCTCTTTGTCTCTCTATATGCTCCTGTTGGAAAAATTAAAATTAATGGAGATGTTTAATACATAGACATCTAATCAAAATGTATTTAAAAAAAAAACATGAATGCCTATTCTGATAGCCTACATTAAGAATTGTAATTTTACTTGTTATTCCACATGATTTTTTCCTAAATGCAAAAACTTCAAATTCCTTTATGAATGGAGAGAGAGAAATCATTATAAATACCGGGATTGCTAAAATAAGTTAAAAACAAGCAACCCCAAACATAAAAACATACAGATACTATACAATACAATACGATACAATACAATACAATACAATAATAATAATGTTACATGCTAACAAAATATATGAATCAATTATGTATTTCAATAAATCAATAAGAGGCAAGTATTGTTCTTTTCAGTTTAAGTTTAAATGCGTTGTGGTTCTTAATACCCTTTAAATAACTTGACATGGAGTTCCATTTGTGAGGACCTTGATATCTAATTGATTTACTTTGCACAAATGAGTTAGTGAATTTTGGTAGATGGAAGTCTTTTCTTGTATTAAAGGAGTGGACATCCGAGTTCAAATGAAAACTGTCATAAAACGTTACTGGTAGCAAATCATTTTGAAGTTTGCACATAAATAATAAAGTCCGTTGAGAAAGAATATCTGGAAGTTTGAGTAAATTTAAGGATTTAAATAATTTGTTTGTCAAGTTCTCTGTATTATGCATCTTTCCTTTTGTGTTTTCTTCTCTCTTCCATAAGAGATTCAGAATGACATCTGTCATCTAAACTTGTTTTGCTACCCGCTTTTTCTTAGGGAGGCATTCCTCAGCTGCATCTTCGTACTCCTTTAGGTTTGACCATATTTCCTCTGGAGTCTTTTCCACGTCTAGTCCTTCATATCTGTTGTGTACTGATGTAGAATACTAGCTCACGAAAATCGTTCTGCCTTAGCAGATCTACATCCAATCTAGCTTTCTTGGAAGGAGCCTTCTTTATCACCTTTGGTGCGATGTTGACCTTGACAACGACTGGGTTGTGGTCTGAGCCTATATCTGCACCAGGAAAAGTTTTGGCCATCCTTATACTCCTTCGGAAACGTTTGCTGACTGCAATCTATCTGTCTCCGTGCCGTATCTCCTGGTTTCTTCCAAGTGTATAGTTTGCGCTTGGAAAGCTTGAACCATGTGTTGGCTACCACGAGTCTATGATGCTCACAAAACTGTATAAACCTCTCCCCTCTCTCGTTGTTCTCATCCAAACCATATTGTCCTATGATGAATTTATATCTCTTATTGCCCACTCCAGCATCCAAGTCACCTACAACGAAGGGGACATCCGAGCTTTTAGCTTTATCTTCATAATCTGACGTTGGTGCATACACATGCACTATGACAACATCAAAAGGTTTTCCATTGAACTTTAAAGCTACAATGACTCTCTCTGAGAAAGCTATTTATAGTATTAGAGATTTTGCTCTTCATAATTATTCCTATTCCATTGAGATGACGCACGCCTCCAGAGTAGACAGTGACAAAATCGTCCCTATCAACTGCCCCTGTCTCTTTCCACCGAAGTTCACTTATTCCTAATATATCAAGACTCTTGAACCATCGTACGCACGTTCCAAGTGCCGATGCGCAGGAGATTTTCCCTAGTTTCATCCAGTGCCACACTTCCTTCTGGCTTTGGTGTGACCCCGTCATTCTCGGAAGACTTACAATTCGAAGGGGCACCCTTGGCACTATTTATAACAGATGCATCACTTGCAAGAGTCCAAAGCTCATCTGTGTGACTTCTGTCTGTGTCATGTCTGTGCACAGCATACTATTTTAGAGAAAACGTGGTAAGGCTTTAATCTTTTCCACAGAGGATGGCCGTTGGCTCACATGGATCTCATAGATAGATAGATTCTTTTATTGATCCACGTTCAAAACATAGAAAATTGGCCTCCACCGGCAGCACATAAACAAAATACAATGTAGTTACATGATAATTGATAAACACTGTATACGTCACTTATAATGTACATGGGGTTGATGGTTTAGTTGCCGATGTCTCGACCATGTGTGCATTACATTTCATTTAAGATATGTTTCAAATCTCATTAAGATTGTGTTTAAGTACTTATCTTGTTCTCTATATGCAATAGTGCAGATATACGTAAAAAATAAGGAATACTTCGGTGAATTGAATAATGACACAAATTAGAACAAATAAGCTGTTAATTACAATAATCTCTTTCTCTCTCGTTGTCAGATGGTGCCCATATATGCACTGATGTGGCGTTCACTAAAGCTCGCCATTGTGATATATTGGAGGCAAGACAAGTAATACATGTCCGACACGGATAAGTTACAGACTAGGAGTGATCTTTATTAGAGGGGTTTCACAGTGGCCCTGTAAGCTCATTACATAACTTTGTCTGGCATAAACATATACCAGTAGGTGGCGCCATTACATACATTGATATGGATTTACATTGATCAAGATACATCACATCTTCCTCTTTAAAGATAGCAGGGATCAGTTATTGAAACTCGCGTTTAAGTATACATCAATGTCTGTTAAGTGAGATTAGGTTGTATTACCATAATTGTGTTTCTGAATAAATGAATTAATATTTATGGGAAGGTGTAGCTGTAATAAAAGCCTTTTCCTTCTCTACTATACTCTTTGCTCATTTCCGTATTACATAATACATAATGTATTTAGCTATCCTATCGTTTCACTAGTCTACACTCCATCTTTTCAACAACGTGAAATAAGGTAATAGGTGTGCATGGTTTTCTTTCCACTTTTTTTTTTGTATTTTTTTTTTAATAAAACAATTAAAAAAAAAAAACTTTTATCAACTTTAATCGCGTTATTGAGAGTATCTCTTAATGCTAAAGATTTGCCTCATTGTGTTTATTTAGGTTATTTCTGTTCCTATTTGGCCCATCCTATATAGTTGACATACGGTTTAACATGCTAAATGGTTCCATAGTTTAAGCCATGGATTTCAAATAGAAAGTACCAAACGTTCTAACAAGCCTTCATTATGCCTGTTATTATGATTACCAGTGTTGGGATATGGGCACACTCAGGAATTATTGAGATTATTCAGCGTGGTCTTGCATATCCAGCCGCTCTGGTGGTTTGGATACTCTTCCACTTCGGGTGGTGGTGGGTTGCGAGGGTGAGATGCTTTCATAACTCTGTGTTTGTTGATGAGGTGGCGGTTGTATTCGCCTTGCTCTGTTTGGATGACGTAGCTCCGCGGGGTATGTGCTGTGCCAGCCACGCATCATTGTCGCCATGTGCCGGGTTTGGCGCGAAACACGACGTCCTGGTTGGTGCTCAGCGATGGGAGGGGTTTGATTTGAGCACGTGCGTTGTAGTTGGTCAGCTGTCTTCGCTGCCTTTCCGCCAGGTCATCTTGTAGTGGGGGTATGGCCTGAGGGCGAAGAAGGGAGGTTGATACTGGGATGCGACTTCTCAGTAATCTCCCATTCAGGATTTGTGATGGGGCAAATCCACGCAGACCATCTATGGGTGTGTTTCTGTATTCGAGCAAAGCGTACATCGGATCATTCTTACTCATGTTAGCTCGCTTCATGAGGGTCTTCACCGTCTGAATGCACCGCTCAGCCTGGCCATTGCTTTGTGCATAATGGGGGCTCGATGTGTGATGGGTTATTTCCCACTTTTGCACAAACTCTCGAAACTCGCTACAATCAAATTGACGGGCGTTGTCTGACACAATCATGTCTGGTGTGCCATTTCGCGAGAATATTTCTTTCAAGCTTGTAATGACCTTGTGGGCTGTCATTTCGGTGAGAATCTGAACTTCTGGAAATTTGGAGTAGTAGTCGACTACAAGAAGGTAGTTGGCTCCATCCAAGTGGAAAATGTCAATTCCAAGTTTTGACCATGGTCAGTCAGGTATGGGGTGTGACATGAGGGGTTCAGATTGTTGAGCTTTCCGTGTAGTTTGACATATAACGCATCTGGCTACCTTGTCTTCAATTTGTGCGCTCATTCCGGGCCAAAACAAGACCTGTCGCGCTCGCGATTTTAGCTTCACAATTCCCAAGTGGGACTGATGTAGGACATCGAGCATGTCCTTTTGTAAGTCGGCCGGTACTACTAGTCGGCTTCCTTTCAATATGAGGCCATCTATTTCTGTCAACTCGTCCCGGAATGAGTGGTATGGTAACACATTGTGCGGAATGTTGCGTTTACTTTCTGGCCAGCCCTCGAGTATGAACGCGCTGATCTGCTTGAGGACTGGGTCGCGTTTTGTCTTCTCACGGAATTGCTCTAGTCTGCGGTCAGACATGTGCATTACGCAATCGACAGTTTCTATTCCGATATCGGTGGTCGGTTCGCACTGGCGTGCTGGCCTGTTTGTTGGCAGTAGCCTGCTCAGTGCATCGGGCACAAACATTTCTTTACCTGGCTTCCATCTTAAGTCTATGTCATACATCATGAGGTGAAGTCTCATTCGCTGTAATCTTGGACTAAGCTTATGTAGCGGTTTATTGAAGATGCCAATTAGGGGCTTGTGATCAGTGAATATCGTTACCCTTTGTCCAAAGATGTAGTCATGAAATTTCTTGCATGCAAAGAGAATTGCGCTCATCTCTTTTTCGATTGGGGCATAGTTGTGTTCGGCATCGTTCACACGCCTTGATGCGTAGGCTATGGGGCTAGAGTCGTCTTGCATTAATACGGCACCTAGCCCTTGATTCGAGGCATCTGTTGCCATGGAAACGGGGTTTTTTTTGTCATACAATTTGAGAGTGGGGGCAGACGTTATCTTGTTCTCAAGTGCATCTACTGCGTGCGCATGTTCGGCCTCCCAATGCCATGCAACGTTTTTCTGAGTGAGTTGTCTTAGAGGTTTCGTAATGTCCGAAAGTTTGGGGATGAACTTCCCGAGGTACGTAATCATGCAGAGAAATGTTTCTACCTCTTTCTTGTTAGTCGGATACGGGAGATCCACGACCGATCGGATTCTATCCGCACTGGACATTACGCCTTCCGGTGAGATAATATGTCCCACATACTCAATCTTATCGGTGCGAATTACCGATTTCGCCTTGTTGAGTTTTAGGCCGGATTTTCCCACTTTTTCGAGCAGGGAAGACAATCGAGCGTCATGCTGCACAGTGTCCTTGCCCCAGACGAGAATGTCATCGGCAACAATTTCAACTCCGTCCAGCTGTCCGAATTCATCGGTCATTGCTCGCTGCCATACTTCGCTGGCAGAAGATATGCCAAATGGCATCACCTTATAACGATATCGGCCGAAAGAACTGTTGAAAGTCGTGTAATGTGAACTCGCCTTGGTTAGTGGGAGCTGCCAGTATCCGCTCGTGGCATCGAATTTCGAAAATACACGCGCGCCAGCCATTCTAGCTGAAACTTGTTCAAACGTCGGCATTGGGAAATGCTCCCTTCGGATGGCTGTGTTTAGACCGTGGGGGTCGAGGCATATACGAACACGACCATCTGGCTTATGAACGACCGTCATTTGGCTTACCCAATCAGTGGGCTCAGTTACTCGTTCTATAACTCCTATCTCTTCCATTCGCTCTATTTCTGCTCTGACCTTATCCCTTATTTTGTGAGGAATAGTGCGAGGAGGGCATTTAACTGGGTTAACATCGTTCCTCAGTGTGATATCATACTCATGGTTGCGCAATCTCCCTAGGCCTGCGAACAAATCGTCATATATTTCTAGAGGGTCCATTTGTGGGCGATTGGGGGTGGGGCTCGTTGGAATGCGATCAGTTGATGGGGGCGCATTTGTACTGAGAATGCTGTTAGTATTAGCGGGGGCCTGCGTAGTTGTGCTCGCGGGGAGGGTGGGGGGCTGCCTTGCTTGTCACTTCATCAACAATTTCACACCTTTTCAACAAATTCATCCTTTCGCAATCTCTCCTCCCTATTAATGGTTTCCCATAACCACCAACCACCTGAAATGTAAGAAGGTATTCATGCTTACCGACCAGTACTTTAAACCTCGTTTTCCCCACAGGTTTCATAATGTGTCGCGAGTATGAACGTAGGGTCACGGGGGTCTTATCAAGACTCAACTTAATTAGTTTTCCTAAAAATATTTTCGGGAAGAACGTTCACTTGGGCTCCTGAGTCTAGTTTAAAGTCGACACAAACATCATCATCAATTATTATCTCTTGGTACCAGTCATCGTCACTGTCTACATTATCCACAACTAAATCAATGAAGAATTCATTCATGTCAATGTCACTGTCGTGGCTGGGCATGTTCGGCCTGTTCTTGTCACTGTAATCACGATACGGCTCGTCGTCATCTTCGCAGTGTCGGTCGATGTACTCCACATCCCGGCGGCGGTTGTCATGTCGGCTTCTCGGCTGTTGTCGTCGTTGGTTTCGGTGTTCGGTACATCGCGGTGATTTTGAGAAATGTCCAATTTCTCCACATGCCCGGCACCTTTCATTTATCGCCGGGCACGCCCTGTTTCTATGTTCATATGTGCAGTTCAGGCACGCACTTGCTTCCGATTTCGGGGGCCTTCCTCCTTGTTCGTGTGACTGCTCGTAGCGTTGTCGTGGGCGTTGAGGCTGACGTCGTCCTCGTTGGATGTAATCGGTTTCTGCGGGTATTCCTGGGCTGCAGGCGGCTTGTAGTTCGACCATCTCGTTGGCGCTGTTCTCGGCCACGCTGCACACGTCGATGCATTTCTTTAAGTTCAAGTCCCGCACTTGTAAGAGCTTCTCCCGGAGAGTTTGGTCCTGTATGCCACAGACAATCCTGTCCTTCAACAGGTCATTCTCGAGTTCTCCAAACTCGCAATCCTTTACAAGAGCCTTTAGATCGGTGATGTAGGAGCTAAAACTCTCACCTTTTTTCTGATTCCTCGAGTTAAACAGGTACCTGATGACACTGAGGTTTCTCTTTGGTTGGCAGTAAGCTGCCAGCTTGGTCTTCAGGGCGCTCACTTTGCTCGATTCTGTTTCGGTGAATGTTAATGTTTCCGTTATCTGTTGGGCCATGGGCCCCGCCACGTGGAGAAATGTGGCGTATCTCACCGGCTCCGTCTTTGCCGAAAGTTCGGTTGCTCCTTCATAAAATTCATAGGCTCTAAGCCAGTCCTTCCAATTCTTTGCGACGTTTCCATCAAAGGAAAGTGGTCCTGGGGGTCTAAGTCCCGACATCTTGTTTTTGACTCCTGTCTTCCTTTTCTCCTGACACCATGTGATATATTGGAGGCAAGACAAGTAATACATGTCCGACACGGATAAGTTACAGACTAGGAGTGATCTTTATTAGAGGGGTTTCACAGTGGCCCTGTAAGCTCATTACATAACTTTGTCTGGCATAAACATATACCAGTAGGTGGCGCCATTACATACATTGATATGGATTTACATTGATCAAGATACATCACAGCCATCTTCCTTTATCGCTAGCTATATTTGTAGCTCTTGCCATACTTCCATCTGACAAGACCTTTACTTCATCTGTCCAAACTGTGGTCGGACGACCTCTACCTCGATATCCTTCCATTGCACTCTGAATAATTTGCTTCTCAATGCTGTTTTGCCTCCTAGTGATGTGCAAAAAGTATTTCAGCTTCCTTTCTCTTATGAGATCTTTTCAAGCACGCGATCATTTGATCTTTTGTCTTGCCAGAATATCCTTAGAAGACATCAATAGCTCCACATCTCAAATGCATCAATGCGTTTCCTGTTATTTTTGGTTGGCGCCCATGATTCACAGCCGTAAGTGGCAACGCTGAAGACTGTCGCTCGAAGGAGTCGTTACTTCAGCTCTGTGGATACGCCTCTCTCTTTCAGATGTTAATCATGTTCTGGATGGTATTCCTTGGAATTGCCAGTTTTTTAATTTCAGTAGTGTCGCTTTCGATGTTGATGAGCGATCCTAGGTAATCTGCTGGCCCTCTAAGATATATGCATCAGCTGTCTGTCACTTGTCCCAAACCATTATTTTGGTCTTCTTGGTGTTCATTTCATTTATTTATTTAAACACGGTAACTCTCTCAGCCTAAACGGCTGTTTTTCAGAAAGTCCGTGTTAACTGAATTAAAACAAAATTCAAATTATATCACAAACAAAAATCATTAACAAAAGATAACAAACCATGAACATTTACAAAATTAAAATTCAATAGCAGACCATTCTTAATTTTACACTTGCTTGCTTGAAACGCTGCACACTCCACCAATTACTCCTTCCTGCTTGCACAAATGAGGGTAGTGTCATCGGCATATCTGAGGTTGGTGATCTTCATGCCACCAAGAAAATACCTCTATCAAATCCTTCTAGTGCCTCCCTCATTATTTCCTCCCAATACACATTAAGAAGGCTTGATGAGAAAATAAACCCGTGGCGAGATCCTCTCATTATACTGAACCACCTGGTGTTAATCTCTATAGTCGCACACAAAGATGAATAAAACCTTCCTTTTTTTTCTTCAAAACAAACAATATTCTCCCATCGCAAGAAATAGCTTTGCTTCTCGATTAAACACGATTAAAATTATTTAAAATAAAATTTCACCGTGTCATATTTTTCTCTTCCTGATCCAGGTTTAAACAGAGTTGTATCGCTGTCCATTGTGATATGTATGTATTTGTTTCATTTGAAAGATAGATTTACGATACTTTACATTGTTATTTTCATGACAAATTGAAATCATGCTGACAAAAATATAATTTGATTGTGTCAGCCATAATAACATATGGGAAGTTATGCAGAGGATAGGTTTTTAAAGCACATCATCGAATTGATGAGTATACACTCTGCAAGCAGCAGGAATCA